AAGTAGCTCAGATACCTATGTATGTTGTTCCAAAATTATAGAATGTATACATTTTTGCTGGGTGTTTTACTGTCTGAAATTAAGAAAGCCATAGAGAGACCACATTATCATTTTCTTATTCGATAAACCTCCTAAATTTTAGGTCATTAATGTTACTCATTACTGTAAAATTAGTCCTGGTATAACTAAAATAAAATTCTAAAACATCAGTGTACTCATATAGCAAATTACTCCTGTCTTTGCTCAGCTTGACTCGCTCTATCTGAGGAGAACTTTTTATAACATTGTATTGTTGAAAGTGTTGTTCTTGCCCTTTAGATCAATAGCACATTTACTCTTCTTGAGCCATAAGCACATTGTAGGCTCATTCTGAGTTTCAAGAGCACAGACTTTCCTGCTTTATAAACCTGATCCCCTTAGCACTTATTGTATTTTATTTTTCTTCCAGTACTGGGAATCGAACTCGTGACCTTGTGCTTGCCAGGCAGATGCTGTGCCATTGAGCTAATTCCCCAGGCCCCCTTAGCACTTATCATTTCTGAAACTCAGTGGTAGTCAGTGAATCTTTGTGGTACAAACCTGGAATCTTAGATCTCCTTTGTAGTAGAGTTGCTTTTCTTGGAAAAGAGCCACTTACTTCTGCAGCCACATGTAGAACCATTAATGTTTTTTGTTGTTGTTCTGACAGTATATGATGTGGCTGTTTCAGCCTGTGTCAGGGTCGCAGAGGGAAGGAGGAAAAGACCAGCAAGGGAAGTAATCTCTGCAAAAGCAGAACTGGGGCTCGGAAAAGCCCTGCATTTTCTTACTAAAAAAACAAAAACACGTGCTACACTGTACTTGTTGGGTCATTGCTACAGGATTCTGACAATACAAATAATCATTCGTATTCATATAATGAAAACTAAAGAAAAGTTGATATATCCCATGGACAGATAATATGAGATGTTTAAAATCTTTTTATATCAAATTTACCCCCTCCCTGAAAATGAAGTCTTTATATATTAATGACTGAACATAGCACACTCTGTCTCTGGGCTCCTTATCCTGTCCCATCAGTGCATGTGTCTGTCTGAGCTTTATGGAAGTTCCATGCTGTTGTGTTTAATATCACTTTTTAAAATACATGAAATTACAAATATAACAACTCCAGCCTTGATTGTCTATTCAGTGACTGTTTTAACTATTTGGAATGTGTTGCAAGTTTCACACAAGTTTTAGAAATATTTTTTCTATTTCTTTGGAAAGGACCATGAGACATTGTTAGAACATACTTTTTAATCTGTGAATGACGATGAGTAGTAGAGAAACTTAAGTATTAATAGCTTAAACTGAGGAATATGAGATGCCTTTTTATTTTTTACGTCTGGTATAAATTTTCCAGCACTGTTTGAGTTTTCAGTATAAAGAACTTTCACCCCATAGCCTGAAATTTTTTTTTTGTGAATGTTATTCATTTGGTGCTACAATAAAGGGGTTCTTTTCTTGATTTCCTTTGCACATAGGTCGTTACTGACATGCAGTAATGCTATCAGCTTGTGTTCTAATTTTCTGCCCTAGAATGTTACCAAATTCATCTGTTAGAAAGTATTTTACAAATTTGGGGGCATTCCATACATAGGATAATGAGATGAGGAAATAGGGCCAATATTACTGCTTCGTTGTAGTTTCAGTGCTTTTAAAAATTTTTCTTTCTTTCTTCTCTAATTGAACCACCTAGTACATAGGATTTTGGCAAATATTAATGGTAAGAATGGGAATGGCTTTCTACCAAATTATAAAGGACATGGTGTAGTTTGCCCCACTGACAATGATGTTAACTAAACTTTTTATATTTTTACATGTCTTCTATGAAGCTAGCAAATATTCTTCTGCATCTAATTTTCTTTCAGTTCATATCATGAAATCATACAGATTCTTGTTGAATCATACAGATTCCTGCATCTGTTGAGATGATTATGTGTTAGTTTTAAGGCTCATTCTGCTGATGTGCCATATCTCAATGACTTATTGACTCACATGAAGAAAACTTTGATTCACATGGATAAATCCCCCATGTTACTTTAAAATCATACCTTAGTTACTCCATCTTCAAAAGTAAACACAAAATAGATTAACAACCTCTACATAACACTTGAAAACATCCCAGAAGTAAACTTTGTGAGCCATTCTCTTAATGCTGGCTTTGTCACTGATGTTTGGACATCAAAGTGAAGGCTCATGCAATAAAATGCAATAATCAAATTAGATTTGGGCATACTACAAAGCTGTGCATTTTAAAGACCCAGAAAAATGGAATAAAGATTTGGGGAAGTTATTTTGAGGAAATATACAAAATAGTGCCTTAATAAAAACCTACATAGATATCTCACACAACTAAATGAGAGAGAAAAAGATTCACTTTCGAAGTATCAAAGCATCAGAATAAAATCATTGTAAGAGGTGAATACTAGTAGCCAAGAAGAATTAAAAAATGTTTCTAAAAAGCTATTCTATAGTAAAATGAAAATTAAACCACAGTGAACCATGGGCTCACTACTGTTAGGATTTGGTCTGTGTATTGTTAGAACTCAGGTTGGGACAAGTCCTGGGAAGGCTGTAAACAAAAGGAATACCTGTATTATTAGGGAACGTGTGAGCTTGGGCAAAAATCATGTGAAAGAGTGAAAATTTAAAATAAAACTATCATATTACTCAGCTTTTACACCTCCAGCTATAATGAGAGAAATAAAGTCAGCACCTACTGTAGATATCATTATTCCAATATCCAATGCAGCATTGTGAACAATATGTAACATATAGAAAGAACATAAACATTCATCATAGATGAATAAAAATATTTTCACATATGCACCACAGAATATTATTCAACAGTGAAAAAGAAGGGAAACCACATTAGTGACAGTTTGGATCAAACTAATAAACATTTTGCTATATGAAATATGGCAGACACAAAAATGTATTGTGTGACCTCTTGTATATTTGAATCCTAAATAAAACCATAGAGATGGAGACCAGAATGATGGCTTTCAAAGATGTTCAGTTCTGATATGGGTGAAGTGGCACAAAGGTGGAATTTCCTAAGGTAAATAGTCTAGAAATGTGGCATAAGCTTGGGAAATGAGTTAGGAATATGGTACTGCACAGTATAAATTTTCTAGATGCATTGACCTCAGCTGTTCTTATATAAAGAAAAAGAAGCTAGGTGTGCTAATTTGCTTAACAGTAGTAATCATTTCACAACATACATGCACATCAATGGTTTGTCATTGATCATACTTTTTGTTGTATAGAGTACTGAATCCTGGGCCTCCACATTGAACTACATCTAGAGCCTATTAATGTTTTTATCTTTTAATTTTGGGGTAGGTTCTTTATGAATTGTTACATTGTTCAGGCTGGGATCAAACTTGAGATCCTCTTTGCTCAGCTTCCCAGAGAGGTAGGATGGAAGGCATATGTCATCCTCTTTGTTAAAACAACATGTACCATACCTTAAGTAATTACAGTAAAAACAATACAAGGTTTTCCCAAGAATTTGTCTGAATGATTAGTCCTGAAATACACATGTCATGGACAGACCAGAGTCCTGCAATACTCACAGCCTTCTGGAAATGAGTCTGAATTATATAAGAAGGACATGTAACCACATCTGTTTTTGTACCCAGCTTTAAAGTTCTTCACACTGGAGGTAGAGAAGAACCATAGAAAACTCAACATCAACACATCAATGACAATTATTTTCCTGAGAAGACTGCAGCTCCTCTTTATTATACAGATAAGGACATCCAGGAGGATGCAATGGCAAAACAAACAAACAAACAAAAAAAACAAGAAAATCACATGGAAGGCATTCTTTGAACCACCTAATGTGATGGGACAGCCACACATAACAGTCTTGGTCTTATGCAGGTATGGAGAGTTCAACCTCATTTCATCATCAGCTGAACATTTGTTGTGGAGAATGAAGACAAACAGCAGATCGGTGCATGGTATTTCAAATGCCCAGGTTCATATATCTCCTCATACTTTAACATGCCCAAGCTTTCACATTTCTTTCTCTATAATATAAAATTTAAACCCAGTCCTCGAGCTCTTCAAACATGAAACAGCAGTTTAAAGACATGATCTGCATCGCTTAAATATAAAAGGTATCTGTGAAGTGCCACAGATTATTCCTTGCCCTCAAGATAAGAAACACTCATTGTGGTGAACACATAAAACAGATGAAAAATTACTGGGCTATTGGGTAGAGGGAAAAATGTCAGTTTGACCCAAGAAAGAGAAACTGTGCTTGACTATTATTTTATTTTGAGAAAAAAAAATATGTTTTTGAGAATGTTCTGAACTTTACAACACCTGCTCGCTGAAACTGACAGGTTCCAATTTTCTCCCCTTGTAGAAAACTTTTCACTGTGCCAACCAGGATGTGGTTTTCAAGCTTAAAAGCTCAAGCTTACTTTGGGTCTGGGCTGCTCCACATCTCCCTGGCCCGGCTAATAAAGGCTCTTAAAATTCTAATTTGGATTCTGGTCTCAGTTCTTTATTCAGGGTAACCCACTACAATTTCGGGGCTCCTCCAGGATCCCATTATTGGGATTAAATAAAGAACCAAGGCTTCTTTGAGGCTATTGCTTCTCAGGGGGATCTCAGAGAGACGTTTCTCTGCCCCGGGAATATTTTTGGTCTCAAAGAATAAAATTCTTTCATTCTGGTTTTGTCAGAACAAGCCATCAGGATTCTTACTGGTAAGACATCTTCTGCTTCTTGGGACACCCCTTGGGAGTCTTTTGAGGAATTGGATGCAACATTAAAGCCTCAGAGACACAGCCCTAGTCCACGTCAGTGGCTGGTGGCATCTGGTTTTCTGGTAACTTGTCTTTTTGTGTCAGTCTTTGTTTGTGTCAGTCTAAGTATGGGTCAGTGTGCTTCTGCTTCCATGTCGCCTTTGCAATGTATTCTTAATCATTTTCAGGATTTCAGGCAACGAGCTGCTGAGTATGGGGACTCTGTCCCCTGGCAAACTCCGGACCTTCTGTGAATTGGAGTGGCCCTCTTTTCCAGGGGTTTCCTGGCCTCTGGAGGGCTCTTTTAACCTCTCTCTTGTTTACCAGGTCTGCAAGGTCATCCTTGACAATCCTGGACATCCTGACCAGATTCCTTACATTCAGGCTTGGCTAGATTTGATCCAGGATCTGCCTAAGTTGGTCAAGACTTGCCAGTCCAAACCCCATCGCCGCACCAACAACAGGGCAACCACCTTGGCTGTGGAGATCCCTGTGGCTAAGAAGTCCTGTCAGACACTTCCTAAAAGGCTTGTCCCCTCTTCCAACCCTGAATCCCTTGCCCTCTGTCCTTTGCCTACCTCACACCAAAGCACTGCCTCAGATTCTACCTCACCCCTTAGCCCTTATCATAACAGAAGTGGTCACCCTTTTTCTCACCAGCCCCCCTCTCAGCCCCCTTCGTCGACCCTCTCCTCTGCACCCGCTCCCCTTTTACCCCTCTGGGAGATGAAAGAGGACTCCTCCCACCCCTTTATGATTTCTGTCCCTTTCTCTACTAGCGACCTCTACAATTGGAAAAACCAGAACCCGTCCTTTAGCCAGAATCCCCAGGGGCTTATTTCACTTTTGGAGTCTGTTTTCTTCACTCACCAGCCGACTTGGGATGATTGTCAACAGTTGTTACAAACCGTCTTCACCTCAGAAGAGAGAAAAAGAATTCGAGGTTTGGGCCAAAAACTGGTTCTGGGACCACCTTAGACCTGAACCAACAAGAATATGTTTTCCCTCTGACTCGACCTGCTTGGGACCCCAACTCCAATCAAGGTAAGGAGGCTCTCTATCGGTATCGCCAGCTTCTTTTAGGGGCTATGAGGGTAGCAGCTAGAAAGCCTACTACTTTATCTAAAGTCACTGAGGTTACTCAGGGATCTGAGGAGTCTCCTGCTGCCTTCTTCAAATGCCTCCAAGAGGCCTACCGGATCTATACTCCTATAGATCCCGAGGCTCCTGAGAACTGAAGGGCCATAAGTATTGCCTTCATGTCTCAATCAGCCCCAGATATCAGAAAGAAACTCCAAAGGATGGAAGGATTTGAGGGAAAAGCATTAACAGAGTTGGTAGAAATAGCACAAAAGGTATTTAACAATAGAGAAGATCCGAGAGAACTAAATAAACGTATGGCCAAGGTCCTCATAGCTATGAGAGAAAAAGATTGATAGACTACTAAAGAGACCCTGGCCCTCCAGACTAAATAAAAGAGGTTAGCCCTTGGCAAAAATCAGTGTACCTACTGCAAAGAGGAAGGACATTGGAAAAATGAGTGCCCGAAGTGAAAACAAAAGAAAAGTAAGAGCCAAGTTCTGACAGCCGCTCCCAAAATGGACTGAGGGAGTCAGGGCTCTTCTCTTGGCCCTCTGGAGCCCAGGGTAACTCTACAAGTAGGAGGCCAGCCAGTCGATTTTCTAATCTACACAGGGGCCACCTATTCGGTTTTACAGCAACCTGCGGGCCCCCTGTCAGAAACAAAGACCTACATCCAGGGGCTGGGGATTTAGCTCAGCGGCAAAGCGCTTGCCTGGCAAGCGCAAGGTCGTGAGTTCAATTCCTGGTACCGAAAGAAAAGACAAAACAAAACAAAACAAAACAAAACAAAAAAAAACAACAAAGACCCACATCCAAGGAGCCATAGGGAAAACTAAATTGTATCCCTGGACCAAAACTAGAATTGGAAATCTGGGGACTAAACAAATGACTCATTCTTTTCTTGTCATGCCTGAATGCCCCTACCCTTTGATCAGCCGGGACTTGCTTCATAAGTTACAGGCTCAAATTTCCTTTGGGGAGGACTGTACCCAAATAACCTTTGCCACTAAACCTGAATTTGACCCCAGGCCCCCAATGATTCTTTTCACGTGTCCCCCGACAGAGGAACATTTATTGCTAACTGAGGAGGAACCCCAACCCAGTTCTGATGTCCTGCTTATAGTCTGGAAGACAGAGATTCCTGGGGTCTGGGCAGAAAACAACCCCCCTGGGTTGGCAATTCATCAACCCCCCACTGTGGTATCACTAGTACCAGGGGCAACTCCTATCCGTATCCATCAGTACCCATTAAGCTTACAGGCATGACTGGGGATCAGTGTTCACATCCAAAGACTCAAAAAGGAGGGCATACTTGTGCCTTGCAAGTCATCATGGAACACTCCACTGCTGCCGGTTCAAAAGCCAGGAACTACAGACTACCGGCCAGTCCAGGACTTACGGGAGGTAAATAGCCGAGTGGAAACCCTTCATCCCACAGTCCCCAACCCATACACCCTCCTGAGTCCCCTCCCTCCGAGCCAAATCTTCTACACTGTGCTGGACCTCAAGGATGCCTTCTTCATTCTTCTGCTGGCTCCGGTAAGCCAACCCCTTTTTGCTTTTGAATGGGTGGACCCCCAGATGGGAGAAGGTGGCCAAGACATGGACTAGGTTGCCACAAGGTTTCAAAAATGTGCCCACTTTATTTGATGAAGCATTAAGCAGAGACTTGCTTTCATATAGACAAGAGCACCCAAATGTAATAATTCTACAATATGTAGATGATGTTCTTCTGGCTGCTGGGTCTCTTGAAATTTTCAAACAGGCCTCGGAGAAACTCCTAAGAAAACTAGACAGAGTGGGCTATTGTGTGTTGGCCAAAAACATTCAGCTCTGCCAATCTCAGGTAACCTACCTGGGTTACAACCTGAAAGAAGGCCAACAAACTCTACAAAAAGGATTGAGGCCATAATAAAAATTCCTATTCCCAATACTAAACACCAAGTGAGAGAATTCCTAGGTCTCCTCCGCTATTTCTGCTTGTGGATCCTGGGGTTTGCTGAAATCGCCCAGCCTCTCTATGCCAATACAGTGGGTGACCAAAAAGGTGACTGGATCTGGACTGACCAAGAATAACAAGACTTTCAAAAGCTCAAGGAAGCCCTAATCTCAGCCCCTGCTCTAGCTCTTCCAGATCTGACTAAACTGTTCCAACTTCATGTGGCAGAAATAAAAGGGATAGCAAAAGGAGTCCTTACTCAATATCTAGGACCCTGGAAGTGACCCGTGGCTTTCTTGTCCAAATGGCTCAATACAACTGGCACTGGCTGGCCTAACTGTTTGTGTACCATTGCTGCCACAGCTATCCTGGTAAAAGAGGCTACAAAGCTGACATTTGGTCAAGAACTTCAAATTGTGGCCCCTCATGCAGTGGAAAACCTGTTAAAAAGTCCCCCTGATCGTTGGCTGTCGAACACCAGGATAGTACAATATCAAGCTTTGCTTTTAGACCCCACCCGTGTCAAGTTTTTGCCTACTATAGCTCTGAACCCCACTACCCTCCTCCCAGATGATGATCCTGAGCTGCCAGTACATGACTGCATGGACATTTTAAATGTCTCATCTAGCCTGAGGAGCGACCTGACTGATGTCCCCCTCCAGGATCCAGATATCATGCTCTATACTGATGGGAGCAGCTATGTCCAGGATGGAGTCAGGTATGTGGGGGTGGCTGTGGTCACCGAAAAGGAAGTGATCTGGGCACAAGCCTTGGGTCATGGAACTTCAGCCCAGCGGGCTGAACTGATAGCGCTGACCCAAGCCCTGCGATGGGGGAAAAATAAGAGAATAAACATCTACACTGATAGTAGATACGCCTTTGCCACCCTTCATGTACATGGGGCCATATATCAAGAAAGGGGACTCCTAACCACGGGAGGACAAAAGATTAAAAACACTCAAGAAATTTTAGACTTATTGGCTGCAGTCTGGTTGCCTCAACAAGTAGCGGTTATACACTGTCGAGGACACCAAAAGGATGACTCCCCGGTGGCCTGAGGAAGTACCCTGGTAGACTCTATAGCCCGAGAAGTGTCAAGAAAACCAGTGGGGCCACTAGAGATACTGCTGGTTCTGCCACCCCAGATTCTAGACAAACCATCTTATTCAGATTCAGACCTCCTGCTTGCACAAAGTCTTTGGGCCTCCCCAACTTCTACCAGTTGTCAAAAATTGCCAGACTTCTGGATCCTCCTCCCTCAGGTGCTTGGCCATAAACAGTATGATTCACTTATAGTTTCTCTCCAGATCTCAGCCAACAAGGAGTAACATTTTCTATCCATTTCCTGTCTATTTCAAATCTAGTAAAAGTAATAATTTGTGCTTCTCAAATTGCACAATATTTAGTATCTTATTATTTAATGTGCAGGTTTCCTAGGAAAGAATCTGGGTTTTTGTCAGTTGGTTCTTTGTATGTATCATCATGAAGGTAGTATTTTTCTTCTTTCTTGCATCAATGTACAGCCTAAGTAGACTTTCAAAGAGTAAAACACTCTTATAGCTTGCAAGGTTTATATATTTGTTCTACTGTTCTGTGTATCCCAAGGGAAAGCTATTGGCTGAAGTTGACTCAAGTGAACGTGTTCCCTTTCATGAAGGTCCAAATATTCTCTTTTGGATATTTTGCTCATGAGGTACACAGCTTCTGAAAGGCATAATCCTACTCAGAAAGTCAGCTTTGAATGCTGAATCCTTGCGAACTCCTTTCTCATTCTTAGGAGAAATCTAAGTCCTCTTTGTCTGTGTACACATAGAACTTGCTAATCAAGCTTTTGTTTATGGAAATGTTTTGACATACATGAAGGTTTAATTAGTTTAAAGTAAACTATGATTTAGGGAGAATGACTTCAATTATTCTTTTTTTTATTTTAAAGAGTAAAAGAAGGACAACATAAAAATAGGGGGGGCTTACCAAATTACAGAAAAGTGGTAGGAAATTATCAATGGTTATTGTTTTACATATTGTTATCTATAAGATAGTTTCTCAGGAAAACAAATAGATAAATAGTGAGTTACAGACAAAAGAGGTAGGAGATTATCAACAGTTGTTGTACTATACTTAGGTATCTTCAAAGTGCCTTCTAAAGAAAATAAATAGAACTATACATGAGTGACCTATTGAATAATCATTAACTATTCTCAATGGTTGTTGTAGGAAACACATAATAATAAACATGCATCCATTTATGAAATACGATAGGAACAATGCAAACATTACAGAGTTATGGATAGATGAGTAGGAAAATATCAGTGACTGCTGTAATACATGGTGGTATCTTCAAAGTGGTTTCTCAGGAAGACAGACATACAGAAGAAGGATCTAACAAGTAGTTACAGCCTAAGGGTTGTCAAAAATCAAGTGAGCCGTCTTGGGCAAAAGCCATTTCTTGTAGTGTTTTCTCTCCAGCCTCCCATCGCACTGGGGCCCCACAACCAGTTAGTGTCCTCTCCCCAACTGTCAGCACAGGCAGCAGGAACCCTGCTGCAGACTTCTCCAGAGCTCCACCACAGCCTGTACTGTCAGGGGAAGAATGGCTTCCAGGGAGTCTCCACAGGTATTGTCCAAGGTCCTCCTGGTTTACAGCTTCCGAGCATCTCACATGACCCCAGTCCACAGGATCTCTGACTCCGTGGGCTTAGTCTGCATTCTCATGTTCTCTGAGTCCTTGTTCAGCAGCTGCTCCTCCGCTGACTCTGAACCTTTCTGGTTCTCAATGGCAGGAGCAAGAGTGACCCATTGTGTGGCACGTATTCCCAGGGGTTTCTCCATGTTTGAATGGTTCACACACATCCATAGGTGGGCATCTGCAGCCGGTGCATGGTGGGCCAATTGTGTCATTGTTTCTCTGTGTCATGATAGTTGTCAGTTGAGCAACGGTGGCCCGCCTGAGGGCCGGCGTGCAACAGCGCTCACGGCCACATGGCTCCCAGTGCGCCGGGGCCCTCCCTCCCGGGGCCTAAGAGGCAGGGAGCGAGCCGCCTCCCCGCCTGTGGCTCCGACTTCAATTATTCTTATAAACATTGGTTTCTGTACTCTTTCTTCTATTCTCTTTTGTTATTTTTGCCCATAATTGTGTTCCACAGTACTCTCATAAGAAAATAGTATATACTATTTCTAGGTGCAATTATCAAAACTCCCAATGCAGAAGTGACCAGTAGTCTGCCCACATCTCTAAAATTATATTCCCCATAGCTTTAAAGGAAACTTAGACACTCTCCACTATGATTTTTTCAGTTATTCCTTCCTAGTTGCACAAGACTACCATCATAAATGATGGGAGATTTTTATCTTTTTTTTTTTTTGCCCTTTTTTGCTCCTTTTTGCAAGGTATATAATTTTAAGAAGAGCTTTATCATAAGGAGAAAACAAGACACTCCTAACCTCTCTTGGCACCTGTATAAGGCAGGCTCTATTCCTACCCTGCTGTAGTTTAGATCTAAAAGTCCCCAAGCCTCCTGAGCATGGAAGGAGGCTGGGTCCGGGGTGCGGGTCTCCTCCGTAGACTCCTCTGCTGACGGTTTGTGGCTGTCTGCGCTGTTGTGGGCGTGGCTGGTTGGGGTGGTCTCTGGGCTGTGAGCTGACAAGGTGTACATTAGCTCCCGGCTCCTGCTGTCTCTGCTTCCGGCTGCCCCGAGCTGAGCAGCGCTCCTCCCTCTGCCTTTTCTGCCCTGCTGGTTCTGCCTTGGAGCCGACAGACCTTCCATGGTGAGGAACCATGAGACAAAAGGAACTTCTCCCTGAAGTTGCAGCTGTCAGGTACTTTGTCCCAGCACTGGGAAAGCAGGTAACACAATGTGTCCATTTCAAGTGTATCAGAACAAATTTTGAGCAAGTTGCAGTGAAAGGGAAAACTGTACCAGGAAATATTGTTCTTTTTAAAACCCTGTTCTCTCTGAAGCTGCCCGGCTCTGTAACTGTTTTGTGACCCTGTAATTGCTTTCTAGACCTCAGTGACCAGGAGAGTATAATTGAACACACAGGATGCCTGCTTGTAACCGACGGTCATTAATCTAATCCTGTAACTGATGGTCATTAATGAAGCCCTGGAGCCAGTGATCTCACCCGGCTGGCTAATCAGGAGAGCTGCCACCCTGTCCGGCCTTGTAACCCCTGCTTATGCCTCAGAGGAAAATGCTGGCTCACAGACATTCAGTTCCAGGCTTTTGTTGGAAGTTATTCCAGCCAGGACCACCGGTGTAAATGAAGCTGTCCCCTGCCTCATGACTTCACTGGGGATTGTCCCTTTCCTGGACTCTGTTTTGCCACAACAGTAGAAGTTTCAGGATATATTTAATTTACTAATTGTTACGCTGTGAAAAAATATCAATATTTCAATTGTTTCTCTACAGTCATTCTCATGACCATATTATTTCTCCTGTTTGTTGTTCAGACACAATGCAACAGTGGGTTTTCATGGAATAAAATGATCTTATTCATTTTGGCAGGAATATAATATTTATTTTAATGAAATAAAACGTTATTCAATTCAAATCAGTTTAAAATATAACACATAGAGAGTTCTTTAGGGAAACAATGGCAGTAATCATTTAGTGCCATAGACACTGAAAATTGAAGAAGCAACTCACAAATAATTTTGTGTTACTTTTCTGAAACATGCTCTATGTTAATAGAATTTTTTACTCTTGGCCTATTAACTAACAAACAGTATTGGTGATGATAACTCAGCACTCACTCCACAGAGAATCCCATGTTAAGTAGATATTTGCATGAATAATGCAATAGGCAAGAAAATGCCTCAAAGTGTAAGTGAATAACTGGATTCTGAGGAATCACTGTAGATTTGAGAATTTAACCCCAAGCACTCACAGGCTGACCTATTATGGAGAAGTTCTCTCCAAACAGAAAATGAATAAATTCAGACAGCACATGTGCTTCCCCCAAGGAATAATTTACATATAAACTATGGAGAAATGGAAGTATGAAATATGTGGACATTAATGAGAACTTGTGTAAGAAAAGACATGGATAAAAGAAAGGCTCATAGGAAAATTAAGAAACATCTTGAAAAAATAAAAAAGGAAAATGGGATAAATAATATTTTGTCAGTGGGAAATGAATTTATAATTACCAATGACTGCTTGTAAAAGAAGAAATAACTGAAATCTATGACCTTTAATTTTAAGGATTTAAAAAAATAGCAAAGTAAGCCAACTTAAATAAAAAAGAAATTGATGAATGTAAAGATATTAATAAATAAAACAATAATTTTTTTTAATAAAACAATAAATTAACAGAGACTTTTGAGTATGTAAATGTAAGATTGGGAAACTAGCCTCAAAATGTTCATAATCAGGCCTAGTTAAAAAAAATGTTAAGCTTTTTTTATTCATTTTTCAAGGCTAATTTGATGGCTAATATAATTTTTCTCTAATACACATATGTAATTAGTTGTACTACATTATATTTGTATTATGTTTCATTAATAATAAAAATTTTGTTCTTTTTCACATATTCACATATATTTTAACTTATATTCGTATTTTATGTTTTAAACATATTTAAAATTTTATCCACTTACATTATAAATTCATAATTGTGCATTACTCATTTAAAAATATTAAATGGGCTTCCACTTCTGTGAATTTCTGCCCATATTTACAAATTAATTTTTATTTCCTTCTCCTTCAAATGTGCTGTTCCCATGGAAGTTTTCACCAAGAGATTACCATTCTTTTACATCAAAGCTATGGTTGTAAAAATTGAATGTATACGGGGTAACTTCATTACGGTACTGCCATGGACATTGGTCCCCAGTACAATACGCACACATATTCTTGGGTGTTTAACCTCCTTAAATTAATAAAGTTATTCATGTCCAATGAAAACATTTTAACATAGAGTAATACCATAAAACTATCTAAATAATATAGTTATCCACATTAGTAAAATTTTCTTTTTTTTTTTTTTTTGGTTTTTCTCCAGTACCGAGAACCGAACTCATGACCTTGCGCTTGCCAGGCAGGCGCTTTTGCTGCTG